ACCTTCCTTCTGTAGTCCTCCTTCGCCTCTCTCAGGTGGACCTTGAGTTCCCCCTGTACGCGCTTCAGCTCGTCTCTGTCACCATCCTTGAATGCCCTTGAAGAGCCAGGCTTGTTCATTCCTTTTGAAAAAACAACAAACTTCCAAGGCATGTAAGCAGATTCACTTTAAGGGCCCAGAATCTGATAGAGGAACCGACATGTATTTTCTTGTCTGCTCAGCTGTCAAAAATGTTTGGAATGATAGAAAAAAAAAAATAACGTCAAAATAATGACATCCTGACTCAACATAGACTTTTACAGTCATATTTATTAGATACTATGTCAGAAGAATGATGCACTAAATATGGAAGAGGATTAGGACCATGTGAAAAATCTATTCATTTATTTCCTGAGTTTTAAGTAAAAGAAAAGTCAGAATTCAATATTATTATACCTTTCCTTAGTAACCGACTAATTTAACAATTAATGGTTGTTTTTTATTATCTCATGGATCTCATTTTGACTTAAAAGGTTAATCCTTTTGATTTCGAACAGAAAGATATACAAAAACACTATTAAGGATGAAACATTATGTCATATGTTACACTATGAGCTGACTGCTAATGTTACCACCATATGTCTTATATCAAATACTTTATAGTTGTATATTAAGCACAGTTAATCCTTACAGATCCTTGCAGGAATAAAACACAACCAGTGATTGAGTGAGAAGTCATGTGAGTGCTTTCAATATAGACATGTGAATATTGTATTAAGACAGACTTGAAAAAATGGGAACTTATCTTTTACCTCAAAATGAATTAAAAAAGCAAACAAGAAATGTTTCTGAATCTTGTACTGCTGTTTTCAAAATCTTCAAAGGTCACAGGGGCGCCCTGGTAGCATTATGGTGAAGGCACATACCACATTACTGCAACATCCATCTATCTCATTAACTACTGGACGGATTGCCGTGACATTTTGTACAGACTTTCATGTAGGGTTACGGCCAATAATGAAAATGTTATATTGTTATGTATTATTCCAGAAATTAAATGATAGCCAGTAAGTTATAAGTCCATAAGAATAATAATTAATTTTCATCTTCTATGACAGACAAAATATGTTTTTAAAGTTTTTATGATGTATTTGAAGAACTGTTTGTTGTTGTTTTTATTGTTAACAATAGTGATGTCAGTTAGATCTGGTTAGAACAGAGCTATGGAATATTAAATCAGCCACATTTACTAACTATATCTGGCCATGAGAATCAGGTAATTATTGGTTATAGTATTAGCTGAAAAAAAATCCATATTGTGCATCCTTACTTTGATGGTAGCCAGAGGATAAATCCTTGATAAACCATCTCTTCAGATAATGCTTAAGCATCTGTAGTAAAACAGACAACAGTGGTTACAGTATATCCTACATAATTAAAAAAACATTAATTGTGTTTAAGCAGATTAAAGATTGTATTGTATTGAAAAAAAGGCATACAGATAAAGCAATTTTAAACATTGAAGTTAGAATTAAAGATGCCACCCATTTAAAAGATCCAGTGTGTAGGATTTACTGGCATCTAGCAGTATATAGTTGCAGATAGCAACTCTCTCTTTTCACCCTCCTCTTCCAAGCACAAAGGACAGACTACAGTGGCTGCAAAATGTGCAAAAAAGGTAAATGCCCCTAAAATGGCTGATTCTTATATTCAGGTGATTATACACTAATTAAAACATAGCTATGAATGAGAATATGAATAGATCACCAAAAATGTTACACCCTAATACTGCAAGTAACTAAAAATATTGTATTCTGTTGGTCTTTAGAAGGCACGCTGTTTTTAGTGCCATTTAACGAATATGAAATTCCTATACATCCACAATGAATAGGGTATATAAAAGGGATTACAGAACATTTTTATTCTAGTTGGTACTGATCACATGCAAGTTTCAGGTGGAACAACCACTATGTCTTACAGTGATTACATGTTTTAATGATAAATTACTTTATTACTGCATTTCACATGGGGAAAGACTCGAAATGATCCGATGCTTCTGAATAAAAGTTGGGATTGATGGCATGTAGATGTAGTTAACTGTCACATATGTGAGGCCTGAGGTAGAACAATGGTTCTATACAATCGCAAAAAAAAAAAATATTTCCCCTGGACCCAGTGCTTGCACAGTACAAAGTATTTGGCTTGACTGAAAGCTGTGCAAAAACCAAAAGATGGTATTTGATCTGTCACAGTTGCTTTGGGTTGTTTGCTTCCATCTGGGACACCTGTGGGAGAGGGGATAAAATGAAATTAAAAACAACTTTGTAAAGATGTTCATTTAGCCGTTGTTTGATTCCAGGTCTACCACATAAAATAGAGCACTGGTTCTCAAACTATGGTACGTGTAACACTGGTGGTATGCGAGCTGCTTCTAGTTGTATGGGAAGGAATATCAAATATATTTTAACATGTTAATTCATTAATTTAAAATACGTATTACTAAAAAAATTAGAAATAAGTTTAGCATTTCCTGTAATATTTTCTTTCAATATCAGTTGGCTACGTAGTCAAGTTCATGCACATAGCACACATGTACATCCATGATTAGCTAGGAGCTAAAATGTGTTGGTAAGATAGTCAGCGAAAAAACACTGCAATCGTGGCTCCAAACAGGAACTATTGAGAAGAGAATTGTGGAGCATGAGGATTAGTTGGAAGTATTTGAATGGTGGACATGATAAGAGCTGTTCGAATCCTCTAAATGCTGAGGAAATGTGCTTCAGTGCTTCCTTTCCTATCTCTTTTAGTATAGAATACACTGGACCACCCTTTAACAAAGGAAAGTAGATAATGCCGTCCAACAGTTCCTTGCACCGGCAAAATTTAAAGCGATGCACTATGGTAGTTTCACCACAGCACACCTACGTAAATGTAGAAACAACAGAGCACCTATGTATGCTTGTGACACCATCCAAAACTTATGGAAATCCAAATCCAGAATAAATATAGATTTATTTTCTTTCATATCTGTTCAGTTAGAAATAATATTGAAGGACAACAGGGACAACAGATGCTAATTAGCTGTTAGTTAATTCTGGTGCAATTACTTTTAATTGTGTGTATCCCTATAAACAAAAAACAAGCTAACTGAATTTATATACAAAAACAAGTTAACAACATCCTTATCATATAAATACTATGTACATAAATGTTGTTTTGCTAAATCCCCCCTATAAATTCCCTCTAGCACTCATTTCCACGAAACTCTGTATAGTTCAATTTTAATATAAATGACTAACCCACTGCTTAATTCACGATTTTATTTAATTAATATTTTAATGGAATAACTTTCTCTACTTGTATATTCCTTTTTGTTACATTTCATTCAAGTTTGTTTTGTTTTTATTGTCAAAAATATCTATTTTGTTGTTACTTCCTGTAAGGAATTGATGGTACCTTTTATATACACACTGAAAACATCCTTTTGGACAGGAAGTTTCACAGCATTGAGTTTGTCACTGTACGTATTTTACATGTGTTATAAATAAAGTTGGTTTAAAGTTGGGCCTTCTTATGAGAAGGGAGTGAAACAGTTCCTGCCTTATGGATTGATTGCTACCTGGTTGTCGATGCACCTGAACTGCCAGGTCCAGCGTGTGTTATAGAGGAAAGGGCGGAGGTCAAAGCGGTTGTCATCAGGACTGTAGCTGACGGCATGGTACGATGGCGTTATCGTGGTCATCTTGTGGCGGTTCACTGAGTACATTCGGAAGAAGTGCTTCACCTTCTGGGCCACCTGAAGAACAATGTTAATAGACTTTTTAGGTAAAAGTCTTACTAAATGATGCTAAATGCAATACATTCATAATCAGTGATCAAATTAGTTTATTAGTTTATTTATTAGTTAGACAAAACTGTTGACAAAATCCCAAAAGAATGTGGAGCCAAACGGTTTATTGTTTTTATGTTAAAAGTGTAACTTAAAATGTGTAATTTTAGCTTAATTAAGCTGCAGTGTCCTAATTAATAATAACTGTAAGAGGTGAAGGTTTTAAAGGTTTAATCGGTTTAATTTTGCTGTTGATCTCAAATGTACTAACCTGCTCATTAATGTCAATTGTGTAACTTATCTAAACATCAAAAAGTAGACTTGGTTCATTGGTTGACACGCCCTGCGTGTAAGTCACTGTGTGCCTTTAAACTATTTATAGTTAACCAAAGCTGAGTGTCAAAGGACACAAACCACTTAACCACTGTAAAGATAGCAAAATGGGCTTTATCTTTTAGCTGTTCAACAAGGCAGTGGGTCTTGCTCTAGATAAATAATCTAGATTGCCTGATGTTAAAGCTGTATAAGGTCATTTTTATAAAAGTAACTATTTGTCATATTTGCTGGAACTTTCAACTAAAATAATCCTGACCGTAGTACATGGGACATCTGGTTTAAAAAAAAAATCAGGGTTCCCTCCCTCCCTCCTCCTAGTGGCCTCCTAATGGTATTTGCATGAATCCAACAGGCCTTAAACGAAAACAACCAATCAGATCAAAGAAAGACAGTTGATGTTGAGGTTCATTCCCAAAGAAGGTTTGGGCCCTGGGAATGAGACTCAACA